TACTTAACTTTTTACTGCGTATTTATAATATAGTCCTTTACTTTAACTTAAGTCGTCTAGACTAAAGTAAAGCTAAAAGCTAAAAGAAGTTAATATCTTAATTTTTAGTAAAGTTATATAATTACTAAGTTTATAATATTCTAAGACTTAAGTTTAAGCTATTATAGTAACTATTTATAAAAATAGAAAAAGAAGACTCCTCTTTATTCTTACTTAGTTATAGATTTTAAGTATATAGTAGGGTACTTACTAATACTAAATAGATAGAACTATTTGTTATAGGCGGAAAGAAGCCTGCTAACGAGTATGCATTTGTCCTATATACAGAAGAAGAAAGATAGAAAAAGAAAGAAGTAATAGTACTTTTCTCTTCTTATAGCGCAAAGCGTTTGTACGCTACTTGCGCTAAGAGTGTACAGAGAAAGGTTCCTCCCTTCCTAGCGTCTGTTATACGACTCACTGGCGTAGCCTCTTACACTATAATTGAATAGCAATATACTTATAAGAGTATTAGAGTTTAGACTCTTAATAGATAAAAATAAGTACTATTATCTTAAGGAAGATTGTATATATCGCCCTCTACATGAAAGTCAAAGCTCTGTTTGTAGTAGACTTCGATAGTACAGCTGGGACTTCCTAGATCTCTAGCGCGGTAGTTAAACTTAGGTTAGAAGCGGAAGTGAAGCCAAGTTTGCGTAAGAGCGCGAGTGGACTGTACTTAGCTACCGTTCTTCTGACTCAAGCGGCACAACATAGAGTGAATGAAAGACTAGCAAGTTGAAGTTTACGATGATTTCAACCCTTCGTCGTAGGCACAACCCTCTGCATTCTCAACCACAACCTGTCCCGAGAACCTCTTCATCGTGATACCAAGTAAAATCAAGGGGAGATCAACTGCACAATCTGTACGATCACCTCAAGTGCCTGTACAACTTCTGTGCAATGGCATGGCTGCCACCAACATCCCCAGCTACCTTGCGCGCCTCAAAACGCACCTGCGAAGAGGATATAAAGGACTTCCCGAAGAGACAATGTCGGACTGAATTCCAGACGCTCACTGAAGCTACCAGTGATGTCAACAACAACTACTCTGGCGAGTTATCAGAGACCACTCCACAATCATCGTCGTCGCTATTTCCAGTTCAGTCTGCACATCCAGAGAGATCCGATACACGTCTACCAGATATCAACGAGATTGCTGTAGGCCATGAAGTTTCACATTATAATTTGTATGCTCCAGCCCGTACATACAGAGATTTGAATGAACAGCACGGCCTCACAGTACCCTTCCTGCCTCCGCCAGCTTCTCAGCGGAGCTACGACTATGCAAGCTATCCGCATCAATACCATTCGGACGAACTACCTATGAGTGTGCTAGGACTATCTGTGCCTCATGTTCCGCCTGATCAAGGACAATATTACCCTTTGGACTCTTCGATCGCTATAAACCCTCAAGTCCATGAACAGCCAATAGAGGAAAGGCTTATCTTAGCCCTAACTGCAGCAGGCTATGGCCAAGATGTTACGGCTTCCACATCGGCTGAACAAGCAGCTTGGCAAGATGTTTACACTAGGCAAAACATATGGCTTTTTAGAGCGGAAGCAGACCTCCAAGGTCATACTATCGAAGTCGTTCCTGGTATTCCCACTGAACAAGGCGCTCTAGGAAGTTCCGCTGGCATCAATCATGATCTGATTCCCACTGAGGTGTGGTTTCTGCGCTCCCTTTCGCCTTTGTTACGCTATAGCGCGTACCGTATGATGACCGAGGAAGCACATGAGATGATCACCTATGACCAGGCTAGCGAAGAGTTCCAAAGACGTTGGGCGTGGATTCTGAATTTTCAAGCATTTTTGCTGTGGAAAGAGAAAGAGTGGGTGGGATCTTTCCAACAGATTGTCGATACGCACAGACGGCGGTGTTGGGACCAGAAAGTGGAAGAGCAAGCCATCGAGACCCCTGTCAACCAGGCGATGATTGATACGTTCAAGCGATCGAAGATGGAGGCTCGCGGTGCGCCACTTGTCGGTGTGACTTTGGACAATGAAACGCCACAGGTGCCTCCTTCTGAGTCAGTGCCCGTAGCGGAGCAGCCGGCTACAAGGAACAACACCACAGAAAAGTTTCAGAGCCCGATATCTCATTCTGATATACCGTCGATACTGCCAGAAAGGCTACATAAGCCAGACATGATCAAGCATCCTTTGGATAAGATCGCGGTTCCATCGTATCCTTTCGACAAAATCAGCGATTTCACTCCAAACGGAGAGGGTATATACCAATGCATGCACCGTTTTGGAAGGAAGTGGCCTTGCTGCAAAAATGGGCTGGATGAGCAAAAAATGAAGCAAGCGATCTATAGGAGTATCAGTACGTGGAAGTCACAAGTTGAGCGCCTGATCGAGAACGGCGATCTGCATCGGAGTCATATGACCTGGCCAACACATCAGAATCAGGCGTTAAAAAGAGCTCATATCGCTGCAGAAAGACAGCGAGCAGAAACAGAATCAGGGAATGGAGAAGTAGAAGCGGAGCGAATTGGTAACGAGGATAAGAAGCAGAAACAGAAAAGGCTGATGGACAACACAGCAAAGGTAAGCCAGGGGAAGAACACGCAACTAGGTTTGCAGCAGGAACTACTCGAAGAAGATGCGACGTCTGAATCTTCATCTGTTTCGACACTAAACTTACACCGCCAGTACGAAGCGACAGCACCTAAACTATCTCCTGACGTAGTTGTTGCGCAACTCGTATCTGATTGGAATATTGCACGGATCAACATACGAGACAAGCAAGAATTCGATAACTGTCTGCATTTAGAGCAGGGTAAGAAATGGCCTAAGTGGCCACGCTTCAAGGAGTGGTGGGCAGCAAGGCTTTCTCAGGTCGAGTTTTTGCAGCTTTCACAGGACCAGAAGATTGTCTTGAAGCGTCCCGAACCATCTAGCATTGCGGACGATGAGGCAGCGTTTGTAGAGAAGACCAAGGAATCACTGCCGCTTGATGCACAAGGGCCAGCCGATACGGAAGAGAACACTGACCCAGACGGTTCAGACCTGGATGGACTGTTTGATGATGGTGATGAAACGAATCTCCAGGAGACATAGAGAGCAGGAAGTTTGATAGTGCTCTCGTGTTCTGGAGATAGTCTGGTAGTGAAGTTGTCGCTATCATAAACAGTACTCGACGGATCCTATTTCCAGACTCGCGGACTGTGAGTCACTGTGTGCATTCTGCATCCACCGCAAGCGAGAGCGTTGAACCTGAAGTGCCGACATTGTGAAGTCATGAAAGGCATATCGTCTAAGATAGTTATACATCTCTCACACAACGCGACTGAACAGTGGCTGCGATGAAATGCATTGTGCGTGCCTAGCTCAATATCGGTTTCGAAATCGTATCTCAACAAGTACGTCATCCCTTGTCTTGCTCCGTGCACAAGGTCACAGAAGGAGTGTCTAATTTGCCTCCCTTAGCCTGGGAAAGTTGCACAGACATTCGAGTCACAAGTGGTCGCGAGAGATGATCAAACTCCTATGTCCATATTTCTTGGGTCTTCACTAATCGAGACAGCTTTCTGATTGACCTGTCCTCACGCACACATAGATCCTCGAGTCGAGATGCGATCACTATCGAGGAACACTCTCGATCACGTCTTCGTGCGTAGTAAGCGCACCGGGGATGTCAAGATTCGCGGATCGAAAGGGTCATCTCATCGATCAGCCTCATCCCTGGCACCACACGAACGTATCCTGCACTACGTTGGCAAGGGCCGTACATATGTCTGCCGATGTACGAGCCCTAGGCGGCATTCCGTGCGAACATCCTGCGTGGCTTTCGAATCGAGGCATCTGAGTGCAGATCTTACGCTGTATCTAGAACGCCATAACCTTCAATCATGCGCCATTGCCGACTTGGAAGATTATCACGAATGGCAAGATGCTAAGTGGGAGATGGAAGGCGTCTACGCTGACGAGTTTCATTATGCCAATCGAGACAAGGACGTTGTCTGTCGCTGCTTACAGTCAAGGAGTCATGACTATGGCACACCTCGGCATCCCGAGATCATCGAGCGATGCGCGGAGTTCTTCTGCGCATACAGCGGCGAGCTCACGGCTACGAAGAAGCAGTGGAAATCCTTCGACTACAGCTCACCTCCTCCGTACTTATCCATTGTACAAGACCAGCCTGATCACCAGAGGACGTTCAAAGACACCAAGAAGAAGCATCGACCAACAATATCGCCAGAGGTGGAAGTGCGGAACAAAGCCGAGTGTAAAGCTTCGGTCCTGCCAGACCATCATGGTCATGCCTCGATACAAGAAGCAACACCAGAATCTGAGCCAGAGATGCTTCCTCTGGCGTGGCAGCCCGCTCATCCATCGTTTTTGAAGGCTCGACCCGGTGCAGAATCGCCTTACAGCACACCCATGGGCACCATTCCACCGTCAAGGTCAGCAAGTCCTTCAGTAGCACTGAACCTGACGCAGCGTGCTTCTTCGTCTGCCTCCTCGTCCCAGTTCCAAGACGAGGCAGGTACAGCTGTGAATACGCATGTGTTTAATCCGTTGCGCACACGAGACTGGCTTACCGTTTTAGCTCTCACTACCTGTTGTGTGTGCTCAGTGTACGAAGAAAAAGCCGTTCATGCGCTGCTCAAACGTTTTCCAGATTTGGAGATCTCAGACTACCCTGAGGTTCAAGTAACGGGGGTCGTACCTGGTAGCTATGGCGACAATGCCGACCTCCCAAATCCCGAATCTGGGTCGATGAAGAGTGTCCCGGTGCATGGGGATGCTCTTGGTATCCACGAAGAAAATGGATGTCCCGAAGAGGATGGAGGATACGAAGAGAATGGTCATGGTACCACAACCAGCCGTGAATCTCTGCCATTCGACAATGGTCTGTGGTACCGAGACCGCCTCCACTATGAGAAGTATGGAGATATGGCGAGCCAAATTTCAGTGGCAGAGCTTCCCGCTCGTAGTTTGCCAGTCGAACTTCCATGTTTCGACCCCAATGAAGGAAATCAGACTCCGGTTGCAGGACTCACAGATCGTAGATCGCCGGTGAAACTCCCGGCTACACCTGTACGCCGACGACACACTGCAATGCTGAAGAAGCTCGAGGGACGGGAGTGGGACACAGCATCGGAGTTGGAAGCCAAGCACTCCAGATTCCGGCACGAACAAACTATCAGTGGTACGTTCACTTGCGCGCGTAAGACCGCAAGATTGAGCTCACCCTTTGAGTAGAATCCCCATACCGCGACATACTTACTGCCCTACCAAGCGGAGTGTCTTCTTCGCCATGCTGTAGCAGCTTCCCCTATGAACCTTGCACGTGCTGAGCAATACCAGCTGTGCGTTCAGCATTTTCAGCATGCACGAGAACGACTTGCTTTGCTGCCGGATTGTGGTTGCATTATACATGGAACATGTTTCCTGCAGAGATTGCGCAAGCTTGACCAGCAGTTCGGCAGATGTCCAGTCTGTGGCATAGGCGTGTGGAGGCGCTCGTGCACGATGACTGAATTAGCCGCTGATTGTATACTTAGGATATGCTCAGCATAGCGATATAGGTATTCTTTTGGAGTGCACTTACGCGATGTGCTCTAGTGACCACCAGCACGAAGCCGAAGTTCTTTAGCCTCTACCCGCTGCATATTCCCCGGCTTCACAACGTTAAGATGGTTCCAGAGCAGCTACACAAAGATCAAGGATTCAGACGCTGTGGAACCTGAACCGAGATCATTCTCGCCTAGACATCATTTGGAGGTTTGATGGACAAAGAAGAGCGCGAAGCGAGGGAACGACGGTAACGATGGGAGAGCGGTGGAACGTGCGCGTCTCAACCTCATACGGTCAGCTGCGATGGTCCTTCGACGGTTTCGACTCGTCTTCATCTCATTGTGCTCTCATACTCTACATCGCACACGAAGCCTTTTCTTTGACCCAATGATGCTGTACTCGATAGCTGACCAGCCCAGAAACATGAAAATGACGTCATCTCCGCCATTACTCTGTTCGAACATTGTGAATTTTCCAAAGCACACACGTGAACAAGGACGCGTTGCTGTTGCGCTAGCTCCCTAACATCAGTATTCAAGTACTACTTTGAGAACCGAAGCAGGCATGAAGGGCGGGCCATCAAAGCGCGCCGTGTAGGACTAACGCATTTGAGATCAAGTTTTACTCGCTCCCAATGTCTACCTTCTAGAAGAGCGCTATGCTATGCAATGTTGAAATTATGAGTTTATCATATACATTATTGTCGTTCAAGAGCATCTTTGAAGATATGCAAGTACTCATTCGTGGAACAACGCTTGACAGGGTCTCAAGTTGGTCTAAGCCCCCGGCTATTCTCCCAAGGACAAAAGGCAGTGGCTATAACACGATCATCCTATACCCTGCGGAATTAATTACTTCCAAACGCCCGCTCGCTCGAGAGCTGCCTCCCCACATCATTTGCGGTTGTCGCATTGACAAAGCAGCCGCCTCTACTGAAATTGGAGATAAATTGCAGTACGCAATGTGACCGAGCAAAAGCTTGTTTCGAAATGCCAAATCAAGTGGTCAAAAGCCAGTCGATTGCCACGATGTTTCCTTGTTACTCACGTCGCTAGTGTTCCCGTTCTACGTCCCGATGTTTTATACGTCACTTCTTTCTGTCGCTTTAGCGACGCTTTCTCTGGTATCGCCGACGGTCAATGGGCGTGCGATTGAAGCTGTCGAGAAGCGACAAGATGCGTCGCATTGGATCAACACCTGGACCAGCATGCCGCAATTGGTAGAAGCGAGCAACATGCCGCCAGCGCAATTCGTATGGCAAACTCCCACACTATTCTAAATACATCTTCGCAATTCTAACATGATCATAGAGTTCCGGAGGTGTTCTCCGAGATGCGACACTCCGCCAGACCCTCCACATGTCTGTCGGCGCCCCGAAGATCAAGATCACGATTTCCAACACCTTCGGTGGGTCTGATCTCCCCATCACCGCAGGTTCCGTTGGGCTTCCAGCAGGTGATGCGGCGGGTGTTAGTGGCATTCAAGCCTCGCCACTGGCTGCCATCACTGTTGGTGGAAAAAGCAGCTTTACTGTGCCCAAGGGCCAGGTTGTTACCAGCGACGAAATTACTTTCGAAGTCAAGCCGCAGAGCATGCTCACAGTGAGCTTGTACAGTCAGCAGGGGCAGAGCGGAAGCAGTATCACTGGTCATCCAGGCAGTAGGACGACTAGTTGGTTTGTGAGTGGAAACAAGGTCAATGCTACGACTTTCTCTGGAACTTCCAGTGTGCACTGGTATGTCAATAATGTAATATATGTAAAGAGTGGCATACTAACTGGACTACAGGTACTTCGTCAGCGCCGTTCAAGCCTACGTACCAACCAACACCAACTCTTTGATGGTCCTTGGCGACAGCATCACCGATGGACGTGGTTCAGATGACAACAAGAACAATCGCTGGCCCGACCTCGTACTCGCCCGACTCCAATCTTCCAACCACACCAACGTCGCCGTTTGCAACCAAGCTGCAGGCGGCAACACAGTCTTGAGCGGCGGTCTGGGCCCACCTCTGCTAACTCGCTACAAGCGCGACGCCATCGATCAGCCCGGCGTCAAATGGGTGATGGTCTTTGAGGGCGTCAACGATATCGGGGGCGGTGCTAATAATGCCGCCACGCAAACCTCCATCGGTGATCGCCTCATCGCAGCGTTCAAGCAGATCGCTGCTGATGCGAAGAAAGCTGGTTACACCACGATCGGTGGGACGATTACGCCTTTTGCGGGAAACAGCTATCAGGGTGCTGAGAGGGAGAAGACGAGGAAAAGGGTGAACAAGTGGATTCTGGAGAGTGGGAACTATGATTTTGCGGTTGATATTGCGGGCATGGTCGCGAATAAGGCGAATACCGAGCAGTTGGATCCGAAGTACAATGGGGGTGATGGGTTACATCCAAATGTCGCGGGTTACCAGGCGATTGCTGATGCGTTTCCAATTGATATCTTCAAGACGTGAAGAAAATAGGGCTTAGAGTAATCCATTCGTTTGTATGGCGCGTTGTCTTTGATGAAGCTTGGCTGCCAAAGGTCGATACGAGATTAGGACATTGACCAGACCGTCTATACAATATGGGGAACCTTAGAGCAAGCTACCAAGATTATGTACACTTGTTTTACCGCTGTCACATGCAAGACACAATGCTCATGGTGAGCCAATAGGACACGCGAGTCGCGCGTTGGCTACATTTGGCTAGCGTGTTTTGCGCGTCCACGCGAACGCGCCTGCCACTTTAACATGATCAACCTCCGCAACGTCAACGCCGCCGCAGAAATACGCAGCATATCTACAACACCATGATCCGCCACGACTACTCCCGCGTAGACCCTAAGCGCCGCGCGCAGGTCGACCCCAAGAGACGCCAATTCGCCAAAGCGGACTTTGAACAGCAGAAATATGAACACAGGCTCAACTTCTACGTCTTACCACCCACGGCAGAAATCACCTTGGACGAGTTTGAGACCTGGGCCATTGACAGATTGAAGGGTCAGTCTGTTGGCTATGCAGTCCTGAGGATTCACTGACGATGTCCGAAACAGTCCTCTCCGAACTAGAAGCCTGCAGTTTCCGAAACAAGAGCCCAGAGGAGACGGCCGAATACATGAAGAGCATATTGGAAAAGTACCTCCCGCTGCGATCAGATTCATCGCGAAGTCAGAAACTACAGGAGGAGAGGCGGAGAGACCACTATTCACACTTCATCCTGCGCCTAGCTTTTTCCTCGACCGAGGACTTGCGACGGCGGTTTTCGAGATTGGAGACTATGCTGTTCACACTACGGTTCAAGGATGACGATTTACGAGAGAGGCAGGAGTTTGTAAGGAGCCTGAATCTGGAGTGGGAAGAGGTCAGGGAAGACGAGAAGAGGGAGCTGAGAGAGGATTTGCATGCTGCGAGTGGCATCAAGAAGGGCGAGGACCAGGAATGGTTCAAGGTGGACTGGGAGCGCGTCCCCGAACTCGTGTCGCAAAGAAAGGTCTTGCTGAAACGAGGAATGGCATATGTCCCGCAGCGAGAACAGATGAGTCTAGTAGTCGCCGAGTTCACCAAGAAGCTCGATGAAGCACTTGAGGTAACCACACCGCCATCCCTATACCCCCAAAACAAGGTCACTAACAACTATCTAGCTAACAGCACGCGCCCTCCCTCGCCTCGACGAAGACGATCGCCTTGCTCCCATACTCGCCCACCTCTCTCAATCCTTCACCGCCCCCGACGCCGCATACACCACCGCCGACGCCAACATCTCAGGCCTCAGCACCATAACCGCTACTTCCATCGACACCCTATCCCAAAACTTCCCCCTGTGCATGCGCAACTTACACATGACACTGCGCGACCAATCGCACCTGAAGCACTTTGGCCGGCTCCAATACACCCTGTTCCTCAAAGGCATCGGCCTGAGTCTAGATGAATGTCTCGTCTTCTGGCGGCGCTCCTTCAAACTGATGACAGACGAGAAGTTTCAAAAAGAATACAAATACAACATCCGACATTCCTACGGCGACGTGGGCGGCGACGCAAACAGGCGCGGACGCGGCTACACCCCTTACTCGTGTCAAAAACTCCTCACGGAGCCGCTACCCGGTCCGGGACAGTCTCACGGATGTCCTTACCGCACCTTCACGCCGGACAACTTGCTCTCGATGCTTCAGCGCGTTGGTGTAAATGACCGTGATGTGCTCAAAGTGGTCAAGGAGGACGTGGGCAAGCAGCGGTACCATGTTGCGTGCAATCGCGTATGTGAATGGAGTCACAAAAAGGAGATTAACAAGGTGAAGCAGGATGGGAGCTGGAGTGGGAGTGATTTGGATACTATTGTGCATCCGAATACGTATTTCAAGAGGAGTTGGCTGTTGAAGCATTTGGGGGATGGGAATGCGGGGGTTGTTGGTGGGGCTGGCGGAGAGAAGATGGAGGAGTAGTAGGGAGTGAGCAGCAGTGATGGAATGGAGTTTGGGTGCATGGGATAGCGCATGGTCATGAAGGTTGGGTAGGGTGTCACTGGCGTGTGGAGCGTGGCCGCTCTTAGTGGTGGATGATTTGGTGGCTTTTGCCATGTTCGAGGAACAGCTTTTTTTGATGTCGATATAGTACTTTGATACTCTACTACACGTTCTATTGGCTGCCTGTCAGCATTACCAATTATACTTCAGGATGCACCCCCAATCAACACATCTATTCCCATGCCATTTCACAATACCCCCACACCACTCTCCCATGATTGAAATAGACTTCGCTCATCTCGCAACGAACATGCAGCCCTTGGTCGTTAAGGCGTTTCGTATGGCCGGATGCTCATAGTCTTCAATCATTTTGTATTCACCGAGAAGAAAGAAGATGATTGAAAGTTCCGCGCTTGATTAACGTGGTATGTAAGCTAATAATGTACACTTGTAGTCGTAAAAGCCTCGGCCTATCCAAGGATAACCCTAAGACATATAGTATCCAACCGGGTCATCCTCCTTATGATCCCCAAACGCCAGCCCGCAACCCAAGATATGTGGGTCGCCAAAGCAAATGCATAGAAGAACCGCCGCTCTGAAGCAGTTCTCAACGAGTAGATGAAAGATGAGAATAAAGGTAGGCCATAGACCTCTGAGATAATTCCTTCTCCAGGCTCATACCCAGAACTCTCTACACCTCATGCTCAAAACGAAGCATATATGGCAGGCTGATTTTGCGCCCCCCAACGCCGTCGATAAGAGCATCCCGTGGTATCTTGCTGCTCAGAACGCCCAAAACACCACCCATGCCCATGATAAGATAAAGCCCAGGTATTGATCATAACCATACAAGAAAATGCCGCTGAAGTCGTTGCAAGAAAGGAAGTAACATGGACCGAACATGCGAGGAAACCGCGGAATCAGTCCTATAGTACACTTTCGTAGAAGCCTGGTTGCAGAACAGAAACAAGTCATCAGCGAATGACGCCCCAACTGTCCATACTGCTGAGACCCCCAGTGCGCTCCTTCTTCTTGAACGCATTCCAGAATCGCAGAGTCTCATCGCCAGCACCTGTGACGATGACCTGGCCGTCTGGACTCATAGCCAAGTAGAGGACACGGTAGGTATGGCCTGTCAACGAGACGACTTGTTGCATGCTTGGGTATTTCCAGACAATGATTTGGTTCTGACTGTAGCCATGTGTGGAGACGATTTCGTTGCTATTTTTCGACCATGCTAGGTTGCAAACTTGGCTTCCGGTGTCAAGACTGTTGATGAGGTTGGCTGGTGCGGTGGGCGATAAGGGGATGTTTGCTGTTGACGCAGCTGAGGCGGCGGCTGAGGCCGATGCCAGGGCTGATGCCGATGGACCGTTGGAGTTGACGAGGGTATTCCAGAACTTGATGGTTCGGTCTGCGGTACCACCACCGCTAGCAAGGAGACCACGCTGGTGAGGGCTCCAAGCAATGGCCTTGACGGCAGCCTGATGTTCACTCCACTTAAAAGTGGGCTCGGCGTTGAGTTTCTCCCACACCATGAGCTTGTTGTCGTTGCCTCCAGAGGCGAGTTGTCCATCCTCTTGGTTCCATTTGAGACCACAGACTTCTTGCTTGTGACCGACAAGCTTTCGAAGCCATTGCTCTGGCTGTCGGACGTCGCGATGGTAGATTGTGCGATCTCTTGATCCAGAAGTGAGGATGTGTTCGTTCCATGCAAGGGCGCCGACCCTAGCAGTATGACCTGTCATGGTACGGAGACGTCGCTGAGTCTGTGCGTCCCAGATTTGTACTTGACCTCGATTCGTACCAACTGCAATGTGTGATCCCTGGAAGACATTAGCATGGACGGTATTTAAAAAAAAATGGCCACACTTACACGCTGTATCCAGTTGACACTTGTGACGGAATCGTCTTGTAGTTCGCAAAGCTTGGTGACGCGGCCACTACTCGAGTTCCACATGTAGACACATGAGCCGAGGCCTACTCCAAGGGTGTTTTGGCTACCCCAGTCGACGAGGTTGAGGTAGAAGTCATCAGCGAGATCCGGTGCATCCAAAACCTTGTATGGCACCTTGGAGACGGCACGGGCTTGACGTTGGGGACTGAGAAGCATGCGCTGGCTGCTGTATTTGATTGGTGATAGGCTGTATAGATCTGAGCGGGCGTTGAGATTAAGGATGCCGTGCCGACTTGAAGGTGTCCGTGACGGAGTTGGCTGGCCCGAGTATGAGAAAAGGTTTTTGTGCGGGGTTGACGGCGTCCCTGAAGGCGGCGGTAATGTAGCTGCAGTCCTGGCTGGGGGAGTGTGTGAGCGTCCTGCGCCTCGCATGTTGGCACTGTCGGTCGGAGACAAACTCTGGGGAAAGGCTTGAGGCACGGAGCCCTCAAACATCTCTTGGCGGAGTACGGCGGAGTATGTGCGGTTGGCCTCTTCAGCTGCAAAAAGTCAGTAGGTGTATAGTAGTCGACTGTGGGTGCTCACTCTTCTGGAAATGCAGTTCATGGTGTGGAGTACGCCTGGCCTTGGACGGCGTTGCGGGTGATGCCTCATCATGGAGGAGATTGAAGCTTGCCTGCAGATCTTGGCCTGCGCGATTTGGGATGAATCTGAAGACAAGTCAGCATGGTGGTTTCGATGTGACTGAGTATGCCCATCTCACCTGTCGCCGTATATGCGCGGGCGCTTTCGGCTTGGGCTTGCTGTAGGCGTCCGCTCCCTAACTCGGCCAGCCTGCTCAATGTGACCAAGTGCCTTGGTCAAAGCGGCAGCATCTATGGGTTCTGAGCTCCGGTCGAGCGGGTTCGAGGGGAAGATCTGGTTACGCTTGTGGGAGGCGGTTGGAGGCGTCTTTGACTCGGGTGGTGATATCAGCGTCGGGGTTGCAATATCGTCGTCGAGTTGCGCATTCGTAGCAACTGGCTTCCCCAAGTCGCCCGGCGGTGCGGAGAAGAATGCGCCGGGCTGTGCCTTGCTGTTGCTGCGTGTATGGACCATGGTACCAAAGAAAGTGATGTCGTCGTGGCGGGGTGTAGGCGATGACAGATGGCAGGTCGCAGTGTTATCCTAGGCGGCTGGACAATGGTCGCCTGGAACGAAGGTAAAGGTGAGAACAATGAGTTGAATGGCGCGGTGACGTCGAGTCGTGGTATTGTGATGATTGATAGCCCCTAAGTCGTTTGCCCTCCTCTTAACCAATGACAGGTCGTCGCGGCGCACAACAGTGCCAACAATAGATATGCCTTTTATTCAATTTCGGTGCGCATCGAGTCACGATAGTGGTGGGAAGGGTAGCCGTGGTGTTGGTGGTGGGCGCGCAACGGGCGGGGTGGGCGGCGGTGACCTTGTTGTGGTTGCGGGTCGGAGCTTGTATGCTAGACAGCCGCAGGGTGCTGGGGGAGCAACGAGAGACAGGCGGGCGCGCACGTAGCGAGAGTGGATAGTAATGGGCCAGACGCGGGCCAGTTTAAGCTGAATACAGGTGAAGGTGAAGTCGGGGTTGCATTTATCATCTAGATCAAGTCGCGAGTGAAGTGTGAGGAGTCGCCGCGACGCGCGAGGCAAGTGCCCGTCACGTCGTGGCTGCCATGTCGCCATGTTTTGATGTTCCCTTTCCTCTCGACGCGTTGGAGACGCCTTGTCCAATCAGCGCCGCGCATCGCCGCCCGGTGGAGCCTAGCGCTTGCTCTCGCCAGGTGCTCAACCGCCTCTCAATCGATACCCCACACCGCCCGCGCTCAGCTGGTAGACGTTGTGTCCAATCCTTAATGCTGCCATCATCCAAGCTGCGAATTACACTACTGCATTGCGCACCGACCTCACCCCTTGCTGTATCACATTCGACCTTCATCTCGTCGCATATCCGGACCATGTCGACTAAGCCCTCTCTTAAAGCTGCCGAGGACTTCCTCTCCTTCGTCAATGCTTCGCCTACACGTATGTCGCATGCTGTCGTCATTCTCGTACATACTGACCCCCAACAGCATTCCACGCTGTCAAGTCAGCAAAAGAAAGGTTAGAGAAGGCCGGCTTCAAGCAAATCAAAGTACGCATTCACTTCCATTCTTGTCAGTTTCGACAGTAACTAACTCCGACCAGGAGCGCGACTCATGGGCACCCACCCTCCAGCCCGGAGGCAAGTACTACCTCACCCGTAACACATCCTCCATCGTCGCTTTCGCTATCGGCAACAAATGGAAGGCCGGCAACCCCATCGCCATGATTGGCGCCCATACCGACTCTCCATGCCTACGCATCAAGCCTGTGTCTAAGCGAACAGGCGACGGCTTCATTCAAGTAGCCTGTGAGACATATGGCGGTGGTCTCTGGCACACCTGGTTCGATCGCGACCTCAGTATCGCAGGTCGTGCTATGGTACGAACAAAGGATGGCAACATTGAGCAGCGCCTGGTCAAGGTTGAGAGGCCAATCTTGCGGATACCCACTCTAGCCATCCATTTGGACCGCCAGGAGAACTTCCAGTTCAACAAAGAGACACAGCTATTTCCTATTGCTGGCCTGGTCGCTGCAGAGTTGAACCGCCAGGGTAAGACCGATGAGACCAAGGAGGATAGCAAGGACACAGAGACCGAGGGCCCACTCGCTGCCCCAACTGCAAGGCACCACCCCTACATCATCGACATCATCGCCGAGGAGGCCGGCGCCGAGCCAAGTGACATAGTAGACTTTGAGATGGTTCTGTACGACACACAGAAGTCGGTCATTGGTGGCCTGAACAATGAGCTCATTTTCTCTCCGCGACTGGACAACCTCATGATGACCTACTGCAGCGTCGAGGGTATCATCAAGAGTCTTTCTGCATCATCCGCATTAGAGAACGACTCGACCATCCGACTCATCGCATGCTTCGACCATGAAGAAATTGGCTCCCAGACTGCACAGGGAGCCGACTCAAACCTGTTGCCTGCTGTAATCCGCCGCCTGTCAGTCCTACCCGCCTCTGACAGCAACTCGGACAAGTCTTTTGAGAAGGTTGAAGCGGATACTGCTACCGCTTACGAGCAAACGCTGGCCACATCGTTCTTGATCTCCGCCGACATGGCCCACTCGGTGCACCCCAACTACCCGGCCAAGTACGAGTCCCAACATAGGCCAGAGATGAACAAGGGCACTGTCATCAAGATCAATGCCAATGCCCGGTACGCCACCAACTCACCAGGTATCGTCTTGCTTCAGGAGGCAGCTCGGCGCGCGAAAGCGGCGTCTTACAATCCAAAGTCGGCCAAAGAAGGTGTCCCGCTCCAGCTCTTTGTCGTCCGCAATGACTCTTCCTGTGGTAGCACCATCGGTCCCATGCTGTCAGCAGCGATGGGCGCTCGCACTCTTGATCTAGGTAACCCTCAGCTCAGCATGCACAGCATCCGCGAGACTGGCGGTGCGCATGATGTTGAACATGCCGTCAATCTGTTCGACAGCTTCTTCGAAAACTTTGAGGAACTTGAGAAGAAGATTATTGTGGATTGACTTGATCGCTCGAGATTATGATGAACAATCTAGTCGAATATAGTAGACGAATATTAACGGCATGAATGAATGAACAACAGTGTGTCAAGCGCAATAATGAATCAGAGCGTCTGTGAGTACCCTGTGTGGCCTTGCGACCCTAGGAACGATAGTAGGGTAGACCTGGACATTCTCGGTATGGTTCCGCTGCTGATCTCAGGGTCCACGCCAAGGACCCCACCAACGTCGGCTTTGGAGCGTTTGTTCTCTGACGCGAACCGTTGTTTTGACAACTGACATCATGGCACCTCAATTTCTGTCTGGCGACAAAAACGCCATCGACGGGTTCTTGGATAAATTCGATGTACGTCTCCAGAGAGGACTGTTGCTATGTTTCGTACTCATATAGGACGTTCTAGGTCTTCCTGTTCGACTGCGATGGTACGCGCCCACCTTTTCACCATACGGCACGTCGGTTGCACTCGCAACTAAAGCAGCACCCGCATTCCACATGACCATCTACTGATTGTGACCAAGGACAGGCGTCCTCTGGTCCGGCGATCACCTATTCGAAAAGGTCCCTGAGACGCTGGAGATGCTGAGGAGTAAAGGTAAGATATTCGCTTTCTACAAAGAACGTACTTTGTGCTGATCAGTTGCAGGCAAACAACTCGTCTTCGTCACTAACAACAGCACAAAGTCCCGAGCGGACTACAAGAAGAAATTCGAAAAGCTCGGTATCCCCGCCGAGGTGGTACGTAACGCGGAACCCTATAGGATAACACCAGCTGACGCGCCAACAGGAAGAAGTCTTTGGATCCTCTTACAGTGCCGCCGTATACATCGCCCGCATTCTCAAGCTCCCTGCGCCAAAGAACAAAGTCTTCGTCCTCGGCGAGAGTGGAGTGGAACAAGAACTTGACGCCGAAGGCGTCCCATACATCGGCGGCACAGATCCCGCCTACAACCGTGAATTCCGGCAGCCAGACGACTTCGAAGCTATCGCGAACGGCAGCCTGCTCGACCCCGATGTTGGCGTTGTGCTGAGTGGTCTAGATTTCCACTCCAACTACCTCAAGACGGCAATCGCGTTCCAGTACCTTCAGCGTGGTGCCGTATATCTCGCTACGAACATCGACTCTACGCTGCCAAATGCGCATACTTTGTTTCCAGGTGCTGGTGCTTCGGGCGCTTCGCTTGAGAGGGCTATTGGCAAATCGCCATTGTCTTTGGGGAAGCCGAGTCAAGCTATGATGGATGCCGTAGAAGGCAAATTCAAGTTCGATCGTAGCAGGACCTGTATGGTGGGAGATAGGCTGAACACTGATATCCAGTTCGGCATCGATGGAAAGTTGGGCGGCACACTGGCTGTACTGACGGGTGTCAGTAAGAAAGAGGACTTTTTGGCCGAGGGTGCGACGACTGTTCCCACGGCTTATGTCAATGCGCTGGGTGATTTGCTGGGTTAGGGGGTACTTTTCGCAGCTCAAGACTTAGGCGGAGTCGAGATTGCAAGGATATAGATAGCAATGGCATAGAACAGATAGAATTGACATAGATGGTTGTGCAGCATACGGAAGCACACACGGTTTCCATCCAGTATCATCCAATGGAAACTAAGTGGAACGCTCTGCGACAGCGAGACGCTGATCATCCTAGCAGAACGGACGCGAACGAGCCTCTACATCAACGACTTTTCCGTCCATGCTACCCCAGGCTTCCCCCTCCATCATGGGCAGCATCTGGGGTAAGCCAAAGGCCGCGGTAAACCACGCTCGACTGGGTATCCCGCGGGAACTTGCCCACAGATTCCGACACTGAAATTAGCCGGCAAATGACCCGAACGTCGGTGGTTACGCCGCTCAACTTGGAGAGCAGTTGCCGACAGCCCCACCATAAGAGAGGACATCGGAATATCGGAAATGCAACCGGAACGACGAGGGGAAGTTGCATCATCGCCCATATCACATTGCTCTCTTCCTTCGCTCTTCTCACCCTAAGTCTGCCACCTTGGAACAAATCTCATCTTGGAATATCTCCCGACCAACACAATCATGGCACCGGATCTATCCCAAAACAAGGCCGTCAAGCTCGTCGCCCACGCCGCCGCAAACAAATACGCAATCTGCGCAACATGCTGCTACAACGTCGAAGGCATCCTCGCATCCGTTCGCGCAGCAGAGGCCAAACGTGCCCCTCTAATCATTCAACTTTTCCCCTGGGCAATCACATACGCAGATGGCATCTTGCTCCACGCTGCCCGCGAAGCCGCTGACAACGCCAGCGTGCCTGTAGCCCTCCACATGGACCACGCCCAAACCCCAGAGATTGTGAAGAAAGCTGCAAACTTTGAGAAAGGTTTCGACGGCATCATGGTCGACATGAGTCATTTTGACGATAACCTTGAGAAGACGGCGGAGCTAGTCAGGTATTGTAACGAGAGGGGAATTATCACGGAAGCGGAACCGGGAAGAATCGATGGAGGAGAGGATGGTGTGGGAGATTTGAGTGAAATGGGTCTTGAGGCTATCCTTACCACTCCAGAGCAAGCTGAGGAATTCGTCGCAACGGGGATCAATTGGCTGGCTCCTGCTTTTGGAAACGTACATGGGAAATACGGGCCCAAGGGTCCTCAACTGGATTATCCGCGGTTGCGCAATGTGCATGCCAAGGTGGGAGATCGAGTTGCATTGGTGTTGCATGGAGCAGGGAAGGAATGGTTCCAGGAGAAGCTACTCAAGGAGTGCATCGAGTGTGGTGTTGCCAAGGTGAACATCAACGACGCGTTCAATAATGATTTCATCGACATCATGAAGGAGCAGGCTGGTCTTACGCCGCTGACGGGGTTGATTGAGAAGGCGACAGATGCTATGCAGAAGAGTATTGAGAATTATATCGAGTGGATGGGTGGACAGGGTATGGCGGACAAGATTCAGCTGTGAAAGCAGACTTGTGCTATGGGGCTGGGGATATGTAACATCAGTCAAGGCATCGCTCAAGTTTGCTTGTGATAGATTCTTAGCATGTCGAGTTGCGGTGTACAGGACAACTATGCGGAAAGCTGTTTGTTGCGGCCGAATACTAACGCTTTTGCGACGGGCCGACTAGCTTCATGGCTAGTCTTGCGTACATACCTCAGTAGTATACAGATTTTGGTCATCGTACAACGATTACTGATCGAAGTAGTTTACCCCTGGGTCCAGGCGCTTCGGCTTGTTCAGCTAGCTGCCGACTAGTAAACTAGGCATCAAGAAAAGTCACCGCATATAAGTAGTTCTAGGTGCCAATTCCAGAAATGGACAACGAGTTGGAGATTTCTCACAGTCATTAACACCGCCCATCCAGATTACACCTTATCAGACGTGAACATCATGTCTTTCAACTACTCCTTCCACGCCATACCCATATACTGGGTCATTGCTGTGTACCCACACATTCACTCTGTACGCTTCCCTTTTCGTCTCCCTTGTCCAGTAATTCCTGTTCTTCTACTGACCATCGATGATTCCTAGCAAATGACCTTCAAGAAGGGTATAAACGGCCAGCTCGACAACGCCAATCCCCGTGGCGCCTCCACACTAGAATTCTACCGCAAGTGCTGTCCCGGTCCTCTATATGCGAAAGCCGAGCGTGCGGAAGCATGTCACAAGAACAACATGGAGAATGCTCCCTTTTTCATTGGAGCGATACTGGCGGGCAACCTGGCCGGGTTGGATGCGGGTATGTTTCACTCTTTTCTTTATTTCACAATCTGTCATGGTCGTTCATTGATCAATAACGACACACAACAAGACATCGATAACTATCCCCGGATCGCAAGAGGTATAAGCTGACCAGAGTATCACAGCGACGATGAATACCTTAGCAGGAGCCTATATCGGTCTTCGCCTTGTATACAGTTTCATGTACGTCAAGATTCAGACAAATACGCCGAGTTACTTGAGGAGCGTTACGTGGATTGCGAGCGTGGCGGTCTTGATGACCATGTTCGTGAAGGCGGGGAACAAGATGAACTCGGCTTTAGGGCTGTGAGAGGTGTGAGTTTAGAAAAGATTGTCAAGAGAAGCTGCAAAGAAACGTACACAAAAAGATTGAAACTCGTTATACCAGGATCGGATACGTGATTGCAATATCTCAGTTACACCACAGCCGCCCTTTGTAGAATGAATGTTTCAAAGAATGATGACGCCCTCCACATCTTCACCCTCCACGCCCCCTCCTCTCTCGAGCCAACCTGTCTTCGAATTCGAGAGTTCACTGCGGCCAAGCACACAAACCCCCACAATCACTCTCACCATTCAGCGGATCACAGTCATCTCTCGGATCGTCAACACAAACCTGACCTGGTGTATCGCACTCGAATCCTGCAAACCCACCACACAGCTTCTCTCCAACGCAGATACCCAGCTGGTCACAAGCGGGACCGCAAGAACCTGGTTTGAATGGATCGGTAATGCAGACCTGGCCCGCAGGACAGTCGAGGACTTGGCTTGCACGACCGCCGCCACAGATTTGGTTCGTGGGGGTAGCCTGGCGAGGAGGAATGGGCGAAGGAAGGGGCACGGGGGTGATGGGTACGGGAAGCGGGACGGGTGTGGCCGTGATGGTCAAGAGGGTGGAGCTAGGGTAAGGTGGACATATCTGACATATCTGTTAGTCCGTTGTCATCACTACATAGGCGAAAACTAAGATTCATACCTGGAGAACGGGTTTCTTGCCACCACACAGCTCGTGACATCTTTTCTTGGCAGCATTCTGACAGTAGCAAGATTCAGGCCAAGACGAGATGCAATTTACTAAGGGACATTCGCAAGTTGGGGGAGGTGAGGCTGGGACAGGTACGGGCTGTGGGTCTGCCACACGCGCTTCGACCGAAGGAGGATTGAGAGGCGGGCATTGCGTTGGAAACGGTGGCGTGGGACCGCCGCACTTGTCAGAGCATGCTTTTGCTGCGTTGTAGTCGCAGTAGCAAGAGTCGGGCCAGACTTGGGGGCACAAATGGGGACCAGGTGCACAGACGC